CTGCTCTTTGATCTGACCGATGGGGAGCGTACGCCAAGTGAAAGGTATCCAGGGCATCCAATTCCCACCCCCCCGGGTTGTCCGCCAAATGCACGATAAGGAGCACTCACAGGTTGGTGGTCGGAAGCGCGTAGGTCTTGCGGTTCGCTGTACTGGATTTATTCCGCGTTTATTCCGCGTGTTGCTCTGCTTATTGAGAAGCTTTTCACGTATGTGCAAGGCAGCTGCCAACAGCGTGTTCGGGATGTGATGTAGTCTCAGGTTGTACACCGGCAGTCGCCCGGCTTCTTGGCTAAGGGGCAGAGCATTCGCTTTGTAAGCGAAATGTCGCCGGTCCGATTCCGGCAGAAGGCTTCCGCACACTTCTCGATAACTGCGGCTGCCTTTTTGCCACTGGACGGTGTTTCTTCCACACGTTGCTTCACTTGTTGGGAACCTTATTGCGTGTGTGCAAGGCAGTGAAACTGGCGGTGTACGGTACCGACGTGCAAGAGATTATCCGCATTACGTGGGCAGACGGCTGGGTCCCGTTGGACTTCTCCAACGTGACAGAGGAGGCGAACGCTTAGCTGGTCGAAAAGAGGAAGAAGTACCACGACCTCACACCGACGACGCAGAAGGGGATGTGTCGGCGCGACCACCCCAAGGCCCTCGCATTCCTTAGCAAGATTAAGCTGGAGGAGGACAAGAAGTTCTACATCCGTAGGATCAAGGCGTATAGCGAACCGATCATCGAGAAGAAGCCTTTTCCGATGGTTGAGGTGGAGTTCTGGACTCGTGGGAACACAGCGGTGGGTTGGCTTGGAACCGGACGTTGTGGCACCCAGTATTCAAACTCCGAGAAATGGAGGTCAGGAGTATGATGAAACACAAGAAGGTTGGCCTCCGACATTGGCGAGCCCTCCAGCGGATTGCCTAGAGGGCAGCAAAAAGGCGTCTTGACCGCGCCGAAGTCGGTTCTCACACGACTTAGACGTTTTTTTTCCTCGTCGCAACAGCGCCTAAGTCGGTTCGCGCCCGACTTAAACGTTTTCTGGCTAAGCGCCAGTTACTACTCTCTATCGCCACCGCCCCTATCGGT